AAACAAAAGAGACCTCTTCATCTCCCGTCGAATCAAAAGAGACCTCTTCATCTCCTCAACCCCAAACCCAGGCCTTGAGACCTCTTCATCTCCCGTCGAATCAAATCCAGGCCTCTTCATCTCCCGTCGAATCAAATCCAGGCCTTGAGACGAAACAAAAGAGACGGAGCTCTGGCTCCCCAACCCCAAACCCTCTCCCGCAACCTCCGCCGCGGCCGATCGGAGAGGGAACTTTTGCGAAGATGAAGTTCGCGCAGAACACGAAGATTGGGGAGAGCGTTGTGATGAAAGTGCTCGATCGAGCTACCATCATCAAGCATAAGATAGTCGATCAGGTTCGAACCGGTCCAAGTCTCTATTTTGATTAATCGAGCATTCTTCATTTTGGAAAAGGTTGGATTTTTTGCTTCTTTTTTGGGTAGATATTGTGAGGCTTCATTATCTTACTATTTTTTATCAACTCTGCAATTGTGTTTTTTTAGGGGGGGGGGTGTGTAAAATTTTTTTCCCAGTTGGGAGCTCCTAAGCGCTTCACAAATTTGTGGAGCGCTTGGGAGCTCTGAAGCTCTCAAGAGCCACGTCAGCCTAAGGAGAGGGGCTTGGGAGCAGTTAGGAGGTTGCTGGAGGGGGTACAACAGGCTCCCACTACCATGTAGGCACTGAGAGCGGGCTTAGGAGCTTGTTGCCCTTACTCTAAGAGCAAGTGCATCAAACTCCCAGTTGGGAGTCCTAGTCAGAAAGCTCCCAAGAGCTCTCAAGCATTTTAGAATAAAAAATTAAAAAAGTAAGCCTTGGGAGGCACTCCTTTTTTTGTGGAGCTCCAACAAGCTCCTAGTTAGAGCATGGGCAGCAAGCTCCCAAGCCTGCTCTCAGCTCCGACGTGGACACCTCCTCCGATTTAGCCCCCTCCAACAGCCTCCGAAGCTCTCCCAACCTGCTCTCAAGCGATGACGTGGAGGTGGAGAGCTTCGGAGCTCCCAAGCGCTCCACAAATTTGTGGAGCGCTTGGGAGCTCCTGAGGCCTCCGACTGGGGGAGAAGATGAGGCCTCCGACTGGGGTTGGGATTTGGGGATTTGGGGTTGGGATTTGGGGAGAAGATGAGTGTTTTGAGTTTATTTTAATCGGCTGAGTTGTGTCACTGTTTGAGGTTGAGGTCGAGGTGGGGATTTCAATTCGTTGTAAAATTTACCGATGTATAAAAATTGAGCCGTTGTAAAATCATGCCGTTGAAAATTTTACCGTTGTATAAAGATTTTACCGTTGTAAAAAATTTTCTATAAATTCATTGGACTTCACTACACAACTCATTCCACACAACTCTCTCATAAAAAAAATTTATATATTTTCCTATCAAATTACAAATCTCATGGATCCCTCCCAAAACAACTACTATTCGCATCTCCTTACTGGTGAAGGATCGACCTTATACTCGCCGTTCTATACAGAAGTCGTAGAAGAAGGTCATCCCATCGAGTTATCGCAATCCGCAACACAACAAGTGTCATCCCAAGAAACACCGACCACAAAGAAGAAGAAGGCTTACACGCGGTCCGAAAATTGGACTGTCCACGAGGATAAGCTTCTTGTGTCTGCTTGGCTGAACACGAGCCAAGACTCCATCCAAGGCACGGGGCAACACAAAGATAAGTTCTGGCACAGAGCTAACGACTACTTTATCCAATACTCCACCGATCCAACGAGTCCACACCAAACCAAATGATGCACCGTTGGTCAACGATTCAACTGTTGGTCAACAAGTTCTGCGGGTGCGTTGCTCAGATTGAAGGAAGACAAAGATCTGGTACGTGAATTATTGACCAGGTAAATATTTAACTTATATGTTTTTATGTAAATATTTAACTTATATGTTTGATTATTCTAAATTTAACTCTTGTGTAGACTGTAGAAGTAAAAGAATTATACCAATCCCTTTATGGTAAGCCATTCGTGTTTGGCCATTGCTGGGTTGAGTTGCGTCATCACCAAAAGTGGAGCCAACAAATGGAAAATTACAATAAGATTTGATCACAGCCGAGAAGAACCACGAACTCTGATTCCTCACCAAACAATTCCATGCCAGCGACCCCCATCGAGTTGAACATTGACTCGGATGATGTTATTGCAAGGCCTGAAGGGAGGAAAGCGACAAAACTCAAGAGGAAACAAAATGTGGAGAAATCTGAGTCCGCTAAGTCCATTATGGGAGAGGCTTTGGCGTGGATGAAGCAAACCAACAAAGAAAAAATGGAGCTAAAACAGAAGAAACAAGATGACGATATCATGAAGATCGATCTCTCAACACTCAATTCAGTTCAACGTCAATACTTTGAAATGCGTCAGGCAGAGATTTTGGAGAGGTGGATGTCCAAGGGTTCTTCCTAATTATCATATATTGTACTCGCATCGCATCCTCATTAGTTCTTCCTAATTATCAATTAGTATCTTATATTAGATTTATGATTGTACTTGAAGTTGAAAAATTTGGCATTGAATGAAAACAACTACTTTATTAAAAATGAAATTGGCGTAGTACAACAACTTGAACTCCTTTTCTGAAATTACATTAGACATAAAGGAACTTAATCATTGGCGATGGATCCCTTAAGCTGCCACAGATGCTCGATCAAATCATTTTTTAGTGATTTGTGTGTTTGCGTGTTTCTGATCCGATGATGATTTTGGATGAACTCAGTTAGAGGCACCGTCTGCACATGAGAAGGTTCAACGACTGGTATCGAATCATTAAAGTCGAAGTTGTTGTCCAATTGACAATCACGTTCATCTTCAACGATCATGTTATGCATTATGATACAAGCTGTCATGATATCTTTCAGCACACAAGGTTGCCAGAAACGTCCTGGTCCACGAACAATCGCAAATCGAGCTTGCAACACGCCAAAAGCTCGCTCAACATCTTTTCTTGCGCTCTCTTGTTGTTGAGCAAAGTATTTATGCTTATTTCCTCGTGGTGCTGGAATAGTCTTCACTAATGTGGACCACTCTGGGTAAATCCCGTCGGTGAGATAGTATCCCATATTATACTCGTGGTCATTGACAGTATAGTTGCACGGTGAAGCTCTTCCCTCCGCAAGTTGTGCGAAAACCGATGAACGATGTAGAACATTAAGGTCATTGTGAGACCCCGGCAGTCCAAAGAAGGCATGCCATATCCAAAGATCTTTGCTAGATACGGCCTCCAAAATAATTGTGGGTTCATGAAAATGTCCAGTATACATACCTTGCCAGGCAGTTGGACAGTTCTTCCATGTCCAGTGCATGCAGTCGATGCTCCCAAGCATACCAGGAAAACCTCGTTGTGAGCCTTCCTCGAGCAGGCGTGCAACGTCTTCATTAGTCGGTGCATGAAGGTATTCCTCTCCAAAGATGTTGATAATCGATCGAACGAACCTCTTCACGCTCTCAAGCGACGTACTTTTACCGATCCGAACGTAGTCGTCAACGGCGTCAGCGGATGCTCCATATGCGAGCATCCGCATAGCTGCAGTAATCTTTTGAAGACTAGATAGTCCTAACTGTCCAGCACCATTCCTCTTTTGGACGAAGTACTTGTCATGTTCGACGACTGCGTCGTGGATTCGAAGGAATAACGAACGCCTCATTCTGAACCTTTGACGAAAATAATAAAGAGGATAGGTTGGTGCGTCAGCAAAATAATCTTGGAATAACCGATTGTGGCCTTCCAGTCGGTTTCGATGGAGCACGATACGTCGTTTGTGTTGAACTGAAGTTGAACATTTCTCTTGTTCTTCTTCCTCAACGACAACAGCTCCCATAAGAAAGAACTTCTTCATCATTTCATCATCGCTAGAGCTAGATGAGCTAGACATTTTATTCTGGGAGATGATGGGTTGAGGAGAGAAGCCGTCGAATTTTATAGGCATCAGTCGGATGACGGTCAAAGTTTGCGATACCTCGAACCTCGTGCCCAACATCGAAGACCGCGGGTTACATCGAAGACCGTGTGCATTCCCTCAAAAGCCGCGGGTTACCTCGAAGACCGTGTGCGCTCCCTCGAAGACCGTGGGTTGCCTCGAAGACCGTGTGCAACGGTTAGAAATAAAATACAAGAGGTTTAAATATAATTAAAAGTAATGGGTGAAATATTAAAATAGAAGATGAGTTTTTTTTGATATTATTGGAGCTCCTAACTAGGAGCTTGTTGGAGCTCCATAAAAGAAGGAGTGCCTCCCAAGGTATAATTTGTTAATTTTTTATTTTGAAAAGCTTGAGAGCTCTTGAGAGCATGCTGACAAGGACTCCCAACTGGGAGCTTGCTGCACTTGCTCTTAGGAGCTACAACAATATCAAAAACACCCCTCTTCTATTTTAATATTTTACCCATTACTTTCAATTATATTTAAAACTCTTGTATTTTATTTCTAACCGTTGGATACGGCCTTTGAGGGAGCGCACACGGTCTTCAAGGCAACCCACAGCCTTTGAGGGAGCGCACACGGTCTTCGAGGTAACCCGCGGATTACGAGGGAACACACACGGTCTTCGAGGTAACCCGCGGTCTTCGAGATTGGGCACGATGTTCGAGGTATCGCAAACTTTGACCGTCAACCGATTGATTCCTATAAAATTCGATGGCTTCTCTCCTCAACCCATCATCTCCCAGAATAAAATGTCTAGCTCATCTAGCTCTAGCGATGATAAAATGATGAAGACGTTCTTTCTTATGGGAGCTGTTGTCGTTGAGGAAGAAGAACAAGAGAAATGTTCAACTTCAGTTTAACACAAACGGCGTACCGTGCTCCATCGAAACCGACTGGAAGGCCACAATCGGTTGTTCCAAGATTATTTTGCTGACGCACCAACCTATCCTCTTTATTATTTTCGTCAAAGATTCAGAATGACGCGTTCGTTATTCCTTCGAATCCACGACGTAGTCGTCGAACATGACAAGTACTTCGTCCAAAAGAGGAATGGTGCTGGACAGTTAGGACTATCTAGTCTTCAAAAGATTACTGCAACTATGCGGATGCTTGCATATGGAGCATCCGCTGACTCCGTTGACGACTACGTTCGGATCGATAAAAGTATGTCGCTTGAGAGCGTGAAGAGGTTCGTTCGATCGATTATCAACATATTTGGAGAGGAATACCTTCGTTCACCGACTAATGAAGACGTTGCACGCCTTCTCGAGGAAGGTTCACAACGAGGTTTTCCTGGTATGCTTGGGAGCATCGACTGCATGCACTGGACATGGAAGAACTGTCCAACTGCCTGGCAAGGTATGTATACTGGACATTTTCATGAACCTACAATTATTTTGGAGGCCGTAGCTAGCAAAGATCTTTGGATATGGCATGCATTCTTTAGACTACCAGGGTCTCATAATGACCTTAATGTTCTACATCGTTCACCGGTTTTCGCACAACTTGCAGAGGGAAGAGCTTCACCGTGCTTAATGTTCTACATCGTTCACCGGTTTTCGCACAACTTGCAGAGGGAAGAGCTTCACCGTGCAACTATACTGTCAATGGCCACGAGTATAATATGGGATACTATCTCACCGACGGGATTTACCCAGAGTGATCCACATTAGTGAAGACTATTCCAGTACCTTGAGGAAACAAGCATAAGTACTTTGCTCAACAATAAGAAAACGCAAGAAAAGATGTTGAGCGAGCTTTTGGCGTGTTGCAAGCTCGATTTGCGGTTGTTCGTGGACCAGGACGTTTCTGGAAACCTTGTGTGCTGAAAGATCTCATGACAGCTTGTATCATAATGCATAACATGATCGTTGAAGATGAACGTGATTGTCAATTGGACAACAACTTCGACTTTACTGATTCAGTACCAGTCGTTGAACCTTCTCATGTTCAAACGGTGCCTCTAACTGAGTTCATCCAAAATCATCATCGGATCAGGAACACGTAAACACACAAATCACTAAAAAATAATTTGATCGAGCATCTGTGGCAGCTCAAGGAATCCATTGCCGAGGATTAAGTTTCTTTATGTGTAATGTAATTTTAGAAAAGGAGTTCAAGTTGTTGTATTATGCCAATTTCATTTTCAATAAAGTAGTTGTTTTCATTCAATGCCAAATTTTTCAACTTCAAGTACAATCATAAATCTAATACAAGATAATATTTGATAATTAGGAAGAACTAATGAGGATGCGATGCGAGTACAATATATGATAACTAGGAAGAACCCTTGGACATCCACCTCTCCAATATCTCTGCCTTACGCATTTCAAAGTATTGTCGTTGAACTGAATTGAGTGTTGAGAGATCCATCTTCATGATATCGCCATCTTGTTTTTTCTGTTTTAGCTGTATTTTTGATTGGAGGTTTGCTTCATCCACGCCAAAGCCTCTCCCATGATGGACGTAGCGGATCCACAGTTTTCCACATTTTGTTTCCTCTTGAGCTTTGCTGCTTTCCTCCCTTCAGGCCTTACTAACACATCATCCGAGTCGGTGTTCAACTCGATGGGGATCGCTGGCATGGAATTGTTTGGTGAGGAATCAGAGTTTGTGGTTCTTCTCGGCTATGATCGAATCTTATTGTAAGTTTCCAATTGTTGGATCCACTTTTGATGATGACGCAACTCAACCCAGCAATGATCAAACACGAATGGTTTACCATAAAGAGATTGGTATAATTCTTTTACTTCTGCAGTCTACACAAGAGTTAAATTTAGAATGATCGACAGAGTATTGGATAAAGTAGTTGTTAGCTCTGTGCCAAAACTTATCTTTGTGTTGCCCCGTACCTTGGATGGCGTCTTGGCTCGTGTTCAGCCAAGCAGACACAAGAAGCTTATCCTCGTGGATAGTCCAATTTTCGGACCGCGTGTAAGCCTTCTTCTTCTTTGTGGTCGGTGTTTCTTGGGATGACACTTGTTGTGTTGCCGATTGCGAGAACTCGATGGGGTTACCTTCTTCTACGATTTCTGTATAGAACGACAAGTATAAGGTCGATTCTTCACCGGTAAGGACTTGTGAATAATAGTTTTGTGAGGGATCCATGAGATTTGTAATTTGATAGGGAAATATAGAGTTTTTTATGAGAGAGTTGTGTGGAATAATTTGTGTATTGAAGTGAAATGAATTTATAGATGATTTTTTTACTGTTCATGCTATTTTTTTAATCCCAACAGCTAAATTTTTTAACGGCTGAATTTTTCAGCTCAACTCAACGGCATATTTTGATGATTTTTTCTCTTCAACGGTACATTTTCCTCTTAACGGTAACATTTTCACCTCAAACATCGGAACCAATTAAAAAAGTCCCAAAACCCCTCTTCATCTCAACTTCAACAGACCCAAACCCCACCCCCTTCGTCCAAACTCAACCCCAACCCCAAATCCTCTCCCTGCGACAGACCCAACCCTACCCCTTCGACAGACCCAACCCCAACCCCAAATCCTCTCCATCAACGGCGGCGACGGCGTCGGCTTGCGGAGGCCAGTCGTCATCTCCGCTCCGAACCGAAGCCACCCAATCTCCGACCCGACCCGCCACCCATCATCTTCGCAAACGCCAGCATCTCAACGAAAACGCCACCCAGGCCGAATTTTGGAGGGGGGTTTTTTGTAAAATCTTCCCAGTTCGGAGCTCCGAAGTGCTCCACAAATTTGTGGAGCGCTTGGGAGCTCCGAAGCTCTCCACCGCCACGTCGGCCCAAGGAGAGGAGCTTGGGAGTCCTTCAGAGCTTGCTGGAGGGGGGGTTGGCAACATCCATCGCCACGTCTGTCTTGAGAGCCGAGTTCAGAGCTTGCTACCCTTGCTCTAAGTTAAGGCTCAAAGTGAAGTACAAGAGAGATTATATTTTCTCTGCTTTTGTATAGCTGGCCCAGCAAAGGTCTTAACTTGTTTTTGCTCAATGAAAAATATATTTTATTCATTCACCAAGTGAGCTTTAATGTACAAATCAAAATACATCACAATCTCTCTACCTAATGTTTAAAATCAACAGGAATATGGGAGTTTAACAATACAGTCAGTACCCATGTTTCGATCTGTTTGACCGCTAACTCAGTATTGTGCTTAACTTGGAATGCATGCAATCACAAATTTCGTTCCATTAGAAGACCATACGTACGCTAAAGCAGCAAAGGCAATCCTCTTCACCACATTCTTGTAGTTGTCCCCCCTCACATTTGTATTATACCAACATTGTAGCAAACTGGGTCGTTCACAACATCTCCAAGTAAACCCTAACCACATCATAATAGAATTCTAGACCTCCATATATAGAGAACGAGCAAGAGAAAAATAGGTGATGATGAGACTCTAAATAATTATCACATAGCAAACAGGAATAAATATGAATAATGTT